AATTATTTCTAAAAAAAAACTTTGGTATAAAATCTGCCAAATTGAGCGTGAATAAGAAGATGCCTGTGATAACCTTTGGCAATTATCTTGTGTAAAGCCAAATTAAATACAACGCCGTTTAAATTAACAAGGCTCTTTATTGCGCATTGCACGTGGCGGCGGCGGCGGCGGAGCGATATTGGCACAAAAGCAGCGAGTTTTTGGTAAACAAAGCTCGGCAGAGAGTGCAAATTAATAATCCGGCGGCGGCAAAACGCAATCAAAGCGAGAACAATGGAAAGTGCGCGCGCCCCATTCACCTCGGAAATTTACAACTTCGCGTGCTTTTAACCTGCCCGCGTCGGATTAATAATTGTTATATTTCCAAAAAAGCAAAAGCTTATCTATCGGGGGGTGTTTCTCGGACGAGAATTGATTTGCATAGTACACGATAGCGGCGGTCATGACTTATGCATTAGGAAATCTCGCGTGGCCATGCAAATTAGCCAGAGTAATTGGAGCCGAGACCAGGAGCGAGGTGGAAAAATAAATCACTTATTTGTGCTGCAGACACGAAAACAAATATAGAACCAGAAAGATCAAAGATTAGAGGAAAGGAATTTGAATAAAAGTAGGTGAAGAATCTTCTGTTATTTGAAAAAAAATTATAATTATGATTCATAAAACATTATACACATCTGTCCAGAAATACTTGCTTAAAAATGAGCAGTTAATAAAATAAAATAATATTTTCAATACGTGAATAAAATGTAGTATATTTCATTAAAAAAATTCTAAAAATTTCTGAGGAAAGTTTATACCCCTAATTAAATCTAATCCTTTTTTACTTAAAAACAATCAAAACATTGAAAAATAAATATTTATGGTCAGAGAGAATGAAATTCCTGTCTCTTGTTGAGAATATGTTAAAAGAAGAGAACGCGGTTGACAATTTGATGGGACGCGCCTGTTTCCAGGTCAACTGCTAATTCATTCCGGCGCATGTGTTATCACGACGAGTGGTCAGTTACAGCTGGAATGTAATTACACGACGAGATTGTGCTTGCTCAGTGCACTCACTAGAGCTGCGGTCGGAGCTGAGAAGAAACGCGGAGGTCAAGGAAAAGGCCGCGCTCGACTGATCCTTCAAGCGTGCTTCCTTCTTCAAACATTCCTGCCTGCACCGTCTGCGCCGAGCAAATTCACACAGTCTGCGGCTCCAAAATTCAAAACCGTAATTTATTTATTCCCTGGTTTAGGCGTTTCCATTCGAGTTGTCAAATGAATTTTTTGTACCAAAATTTTGAAAAAGTTAAAAATTGTTTAATCCTGAAATTGGGAATGCTAGATTGATAAAAATTTCTTCTTTACGCTCAATTTTTCAAGCCGAACAACTTTTCTGTTGAACCCAAAGCTGTAGGTCAAAGGTAAGGTCACTTTTTAGTGATTTTATATATTTTTCTTTTTGGGAAAAGTCAAATTTTGCGGATTGTTTTGCAGGTATAGGCAAAAAGTTGGCCCGTGTATTAATTTTGCACTAAATATGTAATTTTAAGAACATTTAAATTTTTAGTTTTCTCGCAAATCAAGTCTGAAGTTAATATAACCATTTTTTTTTTTTAATTTGGAACTTTTTTACTAATAAATCATAAAATCGCTTAAAAGTGACATTGACCTCTGACCTGCAGCTTTGGGTTCAGCGGTAAAGTAGTTTGGCATGAAAAATTGAGTCTAGAGATGCAATTTTTATTAATCTCTCAAAATGTCCAAAATTTTGAAAAGCAATTCTTTTTGAAAAGTTCTCTAACATTTGTGAAATTCAAAAATTTTTTGTCTACGATCAGAAATTTCGCTCAATTTTGCTTGCAAATGAGCAAAGCATTAATTATTTGCGAGTGAAAACTTTGGAATTTATGGAAATTTGTAGGAACTGTGGACGATATTTGAGCGCAAAAAGTGGTGTGGCTCTCAATTTGCAAGTCCCGAATTTCTTTCGCCGCTCGCCTCGTTCAACTTATAATTTATTCATGGTCCGTTTTTGCCCCGGGCGTTTCCAGGAAGGAATTCCTGCGCTCTCGTCGGAATGTTTTGCAAATGAGAGCGCGTTTGGGCAATTCTCATTCGGCCCCGCTCGGCCATTATCAACTTGATGAATTTATTATGCAGTAAGACGCATAATTAGAGCAAAAAGCGGCGATGCAGCCAAAAGTCGACGCGCACTCGACGCAAAAAGTCAATAAGCGGAGAAGCGAAACTTTGCCTTTTCGCAGAGAGAGATGTTTTCCTCCCTGCTTCGTGCGTTGCCGCGGCAAAAACAAATTAATTCGCTCAACTTCTTATCTCGTTATCGCCGCAAACTCCGTCCAAACTTTACTCGCAACTCTTCACTATTCATAAAAATCATGTTGACGCAAACAACATTTCCAAAAGTTTACTTAACTAAAGCTGCACAACAAAAAAATTCAATCCTATTATAACGATTGGAAAAGTGAATCTTTTAATTTAAAAGAGTTTTACTTTTAAAAGTCGAAGTTTTTCTCTTAAATTAATTTTGTTTTTTTACAGTTTGACTTACAATTAGTTTCTTAAATTCTTGTGCCAAAATCTTTAATTTAAACCTGAATCTTCCCTAAAAATAAATTAAATGCTATAGATATAATTTTATCATTTAAATCTTTATCACGTTCGTTCCTGATTATACTAATTTTTCTCCCATTTTTTTTAAAGCGTCAAATCATATTCAGATCGGAAGCAATTTCTCAACACCGCCACTTTTTTTCCTCACTCTCTTTTGTTTCTTTTTCTCGCGCCGAACGAACTTTGAGATGTATTATTTGTGCCGTTCGGAATTATTTTCCACTCAGCAGAGTTGAATGCAAATTCAGCCTGCAATCATTTATCTTTTTGCACAGCAGCAGCAGCAGCAGCGACTCTCGCGAGAATAAATATATATAAAAGTGGCGCGGTGGGTCGATGATAATTTCTCTCCCTCTCTTGATATAAATTCATTTGCAAACAAAAACACAGAGCGTGCTTTTATTTTTATTCTCCTGACATCGGCTTGTGACATGATTAATTATCAAAAGCCTGCTCGCGCGCGCGTTCCAATGAATTTTTCAGCGTGCAATTGCGAACGCCCAGAGAGTTTCTCTTTAATTTGTTGTTTGCCTCGTATTTTATTTCGACACCAAACGCTCGTTTCAACAACTAATTGTGAGTCAAAAAAGCTCAAGTTTTGATAAAAACAAGTGAACTTTTGACAATTTAATATAAAATGTGAATGAAATTTCAATTATCGACCAATTAATTGTTGGAAATAATTGAGTCCTTTGATTAATGGCTCAAATCTGAATTAGGAATCCAATCTGGCGGTGTTCAATTGGTGCGGGGGCAATTTAGATGTGACCCAGAAATAAAACAGGAATTAGCCCCGCGCAGATTGCCATCGATGGCGTGCTCGAGCAGCAAAACGCACGACTTGGTGTCAAAACGCCGCAGTGACAAATGTTAAAAATGTAAAACACAGCCTGAGGTGCTGCCATGCCCTGGATGCACAAAAATTAACACACCCTTGCGTGCGCCACTCGCATTCATTCTCATTTCATCGGAAAATTTGGATTTTTTCTTCATTTCAATTCTGATCTGGGTTTTCGCGACTTTAATCGGATGAAATTTTGAAAAGACCTGCCAGCTTGATTAATATTACATTTCACGGCGCTTTTGCTGAAAGGATCGCGTCTCGTGGATGCAAAAAATTATTCGTTTATACAAAAAGCTGTGCACGCACGAAATTACAAATTGAGAGAGAGAGAGCCGAGATCAAAGGGCTCGATGTCATCATCATCATCAGCGGAAAGGAGCTTTTTTTAATATTCAGAGAGAGACTTGCGCGTTTATTCGGATGTAATATCAGAAAGTGGCCAAATCTGATTAGTCCTTTTCCGAATCAGACCTGCCGTTATTAAATTTCTTGCGAGCCTCGTTTGAAGAAAAATCGATATCAAAGGCTCTGCATTAATTCTAATGGCCTCTGAATCAGCTCGACCTCGATTGGCACTTGCATCAACGCTCAACAAGCACTTATCGCTGCAACAATGGAGATTTTTAACCAAACTCTGGCCCAAGGAGCTTGAAATATTCCTCAAATCGATTATTTCTACTGAAGTTTTTCCACAAAATATCGCAGATTAGCTTAAAATTTCAGACTAATTTGTCAACGAGAATTCTATTCAGGTAAGAATCTGCACCAAGTTTTAACTATAGAGTTTATTTCTTTGTCAATTTTTAATAAATTTGGTAAAAAAATTCGTTTATTTCCCTTCAGATTATAAAATTGTTGGACTTAATTTAACAGTTCAAATTTAATAAAATTTTATAGGATAACTTTTTAAAATTGTTTACGGCGAAAGCAAGCGAATTGAAGCAAAGTAAGTTGTTCTCGCCTGGCTGGTTATGCAACCAGCGCCACTCGAAAGCGCGCACGGCTGCCTATCGCTGATTGCGAGTTCGCCAGCAGCAATTAAAAACTTGCTTTTCTCTCTGCCTCTGAGGCGCGGCGGTGAGTAAGCGATTCGAAATACACCGACTTGCTCATCGTCTCTGCTACTTCTGACACCACTCGCGCCAAATAGATTTTAATGAAATCTGTGTTTTTGAAACACGAACCTCCGCTTTTTTTGCCCAGCACGGAGAATTTTAATTAATTACACACCCCCTTGCGCGAACAAACAATTTAATTAGTCAGATGAAAATTTCATCTTAATTACATTAGGCGAAGGAAAAAAGAAGGCGGAAGAGCCGAAATGAAAAGCAAACAACTCGCTATTTGCATAAAACAGGTGTAAGCCTGCGTCGGGCGCAAAACAAAATAATGTCACGCTTTTTTTTTGCATTACACAAGAAGTGAAGGAAATTGGGGGAAAAATGAAATGAAATCTTTAAATTATATAGTATCATATTGAATTAATAATTTTTTTGCTTTATATACGTATTGAAATTTTGGTACTCTACAAATTAAAATTAAATTAACCCTTATTTTTGTGATTCAATCGAGAAATATTTGCAAATTAAACTTTATACCTGAAATTCCTTTCTGTTTTCCAATGCTGAACAAATTTGGAACGAAACATGACAAAATGAAACGTTTAAATTTTTATATTATGCGATCCAAAACAAGTCGCTCTGGAATCATATGCCATATTTTACTGAAAAGCACAAAATTCCAAAACATCCGAATGTATTACGAATCTCAGGGAAGCACTTTCAAATCGTTGGATGCAGAAACGATTTGCCTTGTGAAGGGAAGCAAGTCGAGCCACACCAACATCGCACTTGGATAAACATTGTCTGCAAGTCCCCGAAAATAGAAGCGCCCATCTCGATTAATCAGTAGAAAATAGGACAATCCTGCAAAAACAATCAGTGGAATTAAATTCCGCATTTTAATTTTTACATATTTTTTTCACAAATTAGTTTTTAGTAAATTTACATACCAAATTATCATATGTTTTTATGAACACTACATAATTTTGAGAGTTTGAAACATCAAATTTGCCTTTTTTTAAAATTATAACTGGTACACTTGCCGCTCTTAGGTGTGCATATTGAGTTTCCGTAAAGGTCACATTGATATCTTTCAAATTTGTCGCCATAACAACGATCTTCTGCCAATATCTGCGATGAATTCAATTTGCCCTGAAAATTCCACACAACTTATCAATAAATCTCTGCAGAACGTTCTTAACAAGGAAAATTGAAATATTAAAAGTTGTGTAAAAGTATTTTTTTTTACAAACCAAATTATCTAAATAATAAAAGTTGTCTTTCACGTCGATCTGGCTGTTTTTATTCCACAGACAGACTGGCTTCAAACTCGGCGTGAACCTCAATTTCTCAGCCTTCCAAACGTAGACGAATGTGTGGTAAAAGTTGCCAGCCTCAATTTTAACTTTCTTCACGTCGAGCACCTGAAATTATTATATTTTTTTCTAAATTAAAGAGCAATTTTAAAAAGACAAACCTTTTGGCTCAGCAAGCCTCGTCCCCGGTGGCAATTTTCACCGACACATTCACCGCTGAAAATTTTCAATTCCTTTCCTTGAGTAAAATCTCTATGTTGAAGATGGCAAAAATTGTCTGAGATCGGAAGTAAATAATGTAAAAATTGATAAGAATTGTTTGTCTGGATTACGCGAGATGATGGTTTGCTCCGACAAAATTAAACCTTCACATGAAGATTTGCCAAAGATGTAAGCAACCCACGGAGCGATCTCGTCTTCATTATTTCGGTCCCACTTGCCGCAGTCTTTGGCACTGAGATTTTCATCGTCTAAACTGAAGACTGGAAAATTGCAACATTTAAAAAACAGCTGAACATAAAAATGAAGGCAAATCTGCGATTTTTTTTTTAAATTTGCATACAAATATGATTTGATAAAATTATTTACTGTGACGAAAGTATAATGACATGTGAAATTATCGTCTAAATCGCTTTATTCTCTTTGAATGGTTCAAAATTTCTCAAAAAGTAAAAATAAAATTATGAAATTGAGTCTTTGCACTTACCAGGAGCAACAAAAGATTTATTCTTCCCGTAATTCCAGCAATCGCTCCTATTTATTTTCTGAAAATCAAAACTCAATTCAATTCTGATCAAACTCGATTGCAGACAATTTTAAATTCTCATGAAGCTCATCCAAATTAAATCGCATGTTAAATTCCAAAACGAAAAATTTCAAACAAAACTTCTGCAAGTCTCATGAATTCTTTAAGTTGTTTTAATTGAAATTTACAAGTTTATCAAAAAAATCATTAATTGATTTTAAAATTGCAAATAATAAATGAAATGATAAATAGGGTATTGGATTTGTCACAAATTCATGAAGAAAAACCTCTTCAAATGTTGAAGTTTTGCTAAAAAATATTTTTAACGCAAAAAATACACTTTTGAACGCATCCGGGCCTGTACTCAAATTAAACCTTTCAAACTTGTAAATGGAAAGATTTCTCTTCAGTTAAAAAAACTCTGACCTCTGCGTAAGTTGGAGAAATTGCAAAGGCAAAACAGCTGGCCGTGCAGAGCAGCCAAATCCACTTCATCTTTAATCAAAAACGCAAATTTTCCTGACTTTTACAAAATGACACAGAATTTCTCATCTACTCACGTTTTCAATAAAATCAAAAGCAATCGAAATGTTGCAAATGAAAATGTCTTGAGCAACGGCGTCGTCGGCCGATGCACCCAAACTGATGATTGCGGTGGCCAAGTTTATTTCACCGGCCTATATCACAATTGACATTTGATCTCAAGATTTGAGCAAAACAAAGGCAAAACAAAGGCTTAAAAGATAGTAAATAATAAATAAAATATGTGCAAAATAATTTGGCAGGCTCACAGAAAAACTTGTGAAAACTCATTTTCAAGGTACAACGTTAATTTATTATCTCGCGCATAAAATTCAGAAAATCTGATTAAATTAATTAAAAAAGAAATTAGTTCTACCAGAAAACTTTGACAAAAATCATGATTATTATAATTAATCAATTGCAGTATTAAAACGCATCTCCATTTAGAACAATTGATTATATTCAAGTTTTGAAACATTGACCTCATTTCTCTTTTTTCAAAGACGCAGGATCGAATCAACTGGCCGTGGTGATCAAGCCAAATCGATCCGATCGCAGAGTATTAAAAAAAGTAAAGAAATGTACATTCTTTAAAATGGAAATACAATAATTATCGTGTGCTACGTGATCATTGTTATTGACTCTCTTTGTATAAAAGATTCAAGTGTATAAAAAGAACAGTGACGAATTTCAGCGCTGGAGTGTCGTGGGTCAATGCACGGAATCTGACGACGGGCTTATCAAAATTGACATCTGACCTTGAGATTTGAGCGAAACAACAGTCGGAACAGCTGAATTTAAATAAATAAAAAGCGTGTGCCAAATAAAGAAGCTTCGATGATGATAAAAAGCAATTCTCTAGGAATGAGGAAAATGGAGACCTTTGATAAATCTAAGCATTTATGCTTGAAGTGAAAAATTTAGAATTGGAGAAAAATGGAAGAAATTGGCAATATTGGTTGCGGCTTGGCCCCGGAAATTTGAATCGCGGATGGCCCGAGGCGTCTCTTGCCGAATGTCAAATTCAATTTAGAGAGATGGCGAGGTGCGCGCGCGGAGATTAGCTGACGATATATTTATTGAGTGCAATTCAGCGTGGGGTGTCGAGAGCGCCGCGGGCAAAAACAATATGTTGACAGGAAATAAAAGAGCGCGCGTTAATATTTGGTCGCGAGAAAATGTAAAAGTAATTCGATTTCGAATCAACTTTTTCTTCTTGCGAATCGGCGAGGAAATGAGGGAGAAATTCGTTGGTGCAAAATGGCGTTTGACGAGAGAAATCGCGCTCACCGGAAAAGCAGGTGCTCGCGCGCGCAGGCAAATGAAATTTGGGGCTCGGCGAACGACGTTTGGCCCCTGCAGCCCTTCCTTGTCGGTTTCCTGTTTGATTCACGATTGGCTGCCGCCCCAGGGCATGCGTCCCTGCCGCTCTAATCCCGCAAAATCGTCGCGCCTAATTTGACTCAAGTTCATTTCACCTCCGAAGAACCATCGCATTTTCGTTATTTTATTTCTGCACCATGTTCAAAGTTCATGGTGGAAAGAAAGAGAAATTTCATCATAAAATTTAAAAATTTCCGAGATGTATTGAAATTTTAATTTAAATAATTACAAATATTTTGAAAAAATTACAAACTTTGCTTTGAAAAGTTAAATTGATGGGTGAAAATGTGAAATTTTTTCTTGAAATTTTATTTGTATATTTGATAAAAATCAGTTTTTAACAATAATTTTGCCAAAATTAAAGAAGTGCACAAATAAATTTACGCTTAATTTGCCTGACAAACTCGCTGTAAAACGTTCAAACGTGGATTTGAAATGCATTTGGGCGATAAGAGCACCTCTCGGCAGCTGCACGCAAATCTGAGATTAAAAGTGTCAGCAAGCCGGTGTTTCATCGCCTGCACCACATCCGCCTGCAAATAACGAGATTTCGGGCGCGCAATTTGTATGCGTGAAGGTCCCTGCTTTAATATGTGGCACGTTTCGAGGTTGAAAAAAAACGCAGCCAGCAGGGGTGTTTCGCTCGTGCACTGAAACCCCAGAGGTGCACTCGAGACCAACCTCTCCTCTCTTTCCACCATGCAAAATGTAATCCGATTTGCATTAGTTATTTTTACTCGCACAGAAAACTCAAGACAATAAAAATGCTAAGACATATTATTAAAATTAGGTACTGAAAAATCTAGAAAGTAATTTCATTTCTTTTATCGCATTTAAAATCAAAATATACTTGAATTTTGTTATAATTTCTGGTAAAAAATTCTTCTTAAGTTATTTGTAAGTCAATAAAAAAATTATTTCTAATTTATTTTTTTATAATAAATTAGAACAGAAATTGCAATTTATTAGGTGAAATTAAATGAATTCAAATATCTTTTTGAAGTAAAAAATCTAAGTGTGATTGATTATTATTTCAAATTTTTTATTCTTAATTCTCTAAAAATACGCTGCTATAGCTTTATTTTGCAAGAACGGTGTTTTTTTTATAAAATTATAATTTTTTTAAGTACCTTTATATTTTCATTCATTTTGTCCAAGCACTTTGCATACTTTTAAGCACCATGCATGAAATAAAATCAAATAATATTTCCATGAAACCGGTACAAATTCTTGTAAAGAGAATAAATTTATTTCAGACGCGTTTATCTGCCAAGAAACATGAATTCCTTGTCAGTATCGGAAAACAATAGAACGGTGTGACGTGCCTTTCGTATTTATGGCAACACTCGGTCTGCAGCTTTTATCTCGTTCGCCGTCGCTACACAATTTTTCCAGACTGCAACACGTGCCCTGATATTGGAACGTAAATTTATCTGTTGCTAAATAATTTTGATCCGCATTTGTCAACAAGTTTTCGTTCTAATTATTGCAAAGTTTGCAGTTGAGTTGAGCACATAAAAGCGGATCTATTTTTGAGAGCAAGAAATGTCCGAGGGAGGGGGAAGAGGGCAGTAGCGCGTTGTTTGCTCGTCCATAAGTCCGTCAGGGTGCGCTAATATTTGTTTATAAATCCATCCATCCAACTAATGGACTCCGGAAGTTGTTTGTCCCTGACAAGGGAACGCGCCGCCAATCTTGAGTAACCGATTTCTCGGCGGGGAAAATGTTTGGTAAAAATTAAAAAGAAAATATTAAATTTTATGCAAAGTACAGTTCAAATTAAATGGTGTGAAATAAAATGTAAAAATTTTAATTTTTTATTATCTGATTGAATTTTATTCAGCTTTCATCCGATATTTGCAAAGAAAAAAATATTCATTTTATATAAATTTGGAACTTATTTTTGTTGGATGTTTCACATTCTAAAGAAATGCAAATTTTTCGACTAAATGAAATTTAAAGTTTAAATCTTAAGATAGAAATGATTGAAAATTGACTTTAGAAACAAAAATCAGTTGCTGAAGGTTGGCCGAGAAAGCTTTGAAAGTTTTATATAATTCAAGTTTTTTCGGCCACCTTTTTGTCCCTCTCGCTGCAGGCACAATAAAGAGGGATTTATATTACACAGGGGGGGGCGACGAGCGACACATCAAAATCAGTAGTAAAACTCTCCTTTGAAGCGAGAAACGAGATCGATGAATTTGTTTTTGCCCCGCTCCGTCTCTTCTGCTCCGTCATCGAAGAAGAAAAAGTTGTTTGGACGATGGAAAAAACTTTTTACGCGCGCGCGCCTCTCCTTTTATTTTTCATCAAATTTTTAATGAGCTGCCGGAGTTCGCAGTCGTGGGAATTGAACGGAAGAAGGCGGCCTTAGATGTTTAGATTGCAATTAAAAAAGTTTTAATTCCGGCAGCACCGTCGCGCGCCTATCGATTTAAAGTCGAAGGTGCATTTCATTTATTCCTGTGCTTCATTTATTTATTCTAAAAAAATATCTTCTTTTGTTTCAGGTATGTGGACGTGTTTTTAGAAGTTTAAGCTTTCCGGACAGATTGTGAGTCTGCTTAAAATTAGATAATTTTCCATCAGCAATCTTAGAATTTAATTTAATTGGGTTTTTACTCCACTTTGTCAGCTAAGAAAATAAAAATTAATGAAAAACAAGCTGCAAAATGATCAATAATTATATTTAATGAAAACAACATTGTTGTCGCATTGAATATATAATTTGCCTATTTTCATCGGAAAAAAACTTACAATTCCATCATTTTTAATCCTCATTTTTATATAAGGTTTGTCTCGTTTGATTGCGTTTTGCAACTTAATTCTAGGAAATTTCGCCACAATTTTCGCTCCGGAGTGACACTTTTGGCCGCACAAATAAATTTCGTGCCAAATCCAGTTCGCAAAAGTGTCTGCCGCTGTCGTTTGGCCGGAATCAAAGCGACGGAATATATTCGAATCGGCCGAGCGAGAAATACATAATTTGCAGCACTCGAGAGTCGGTCCAGCTTTTAATAGTTTCGGTGCAAGTTTGAGTGCTCACGGCGGTGTGCGTAAAACAAGCCTCGACGGGGAAGAAATGTTCGCCCGGCGCCAAAATCGAATTAAATTGCAATTTCCTGCCGACAAAGCACTCGAGTGGTTGCGCGCGGGGTTCGCAGAGAAGTGAGTGACGTTCTCAAAACCACGCGGAGAGAGAAAGTGCTTGAAAATTTGTGGAAAATTGAGGCAGCAACCAAAATAGAAAAAAATAATAATTTGACTGGATTTTCTCAACCATAAAAAAAGATGATAAAAGTCAATTTTTTACTGTAATTGCTAAAAAATTGCCACTGCAAACTCTATTGAAGCACAAAATTGTCGAAAATTGGATGATTTTATTCAAGTTTTGTCTCAAATTTAGAATTTTCTTGTGATATCTACACTGAAATTAAAACTTCTGAACTTTTTTGATCCCGTAAGATCAATGTAATTTTTGTATGTTAATTGACCTTTTGGTTTCATTTTCCTATCTTAATTCAATTGATATGATCGTGTTTCAGTGAAATTTTTATCAATTTTGGTTGGGCAAATTTTGAGAAAAGACTTCTTTTAGAAAATTCCCATAAGAAATAATTTTCAAAAATCGGGCTGTTTTTAGCCAAAGCCTCACCTTTAATTTATTTCTCTAAATACGAGAATTAAAATATTTCCTACAAATTTTTATTTACATTAAAAAAAAAAGATTTC